TCAACAGCATCAGATATTTATTCATTTGGCATAATTATGTGGGAAATATTATATGGAAAACCTGTATCTTATAATCGTGAATTTGGACAGCAGCTTCAAATTGAAATAAGCCGTAATGATTTGCGACCAATAATTATTGGGAACATGCCACAATGTTATCTAAATTTAATGAAAAAATGTTGGGAAAGGGAAGCAGTAAACCGTCCATCAGCAACAAAAATTTGTAAAACACTTGAAGAATGGCAGAGTGACGAAAATATTTTATTGGAACTAACTAAATCGGATGAAGTATTAAAAAATATTAAAAGTACACATATACAAACGTATCCTGATGATATTTATAAAAGTAAATTTATTAGTTATACTACATCGTTTTGTCAAGGTATCTATATTTATTATTTTATATTAAATTAAATTTATTCTATATAGATAATATTAATTATAATTATTTAACAGATAGTGAATTGAATGAGTTAAATATGGATGAGCTGAATATTAATGAATGATATAAAATACAGTATGCCATAATTTGAAAAAAAATGTTTAATGTAAATTTCATTTGTTTTAAGTTTTTACTATTGACTGTTTGCACTTGACCGCAAAATTTACATCCCATATTTATTTGCATAGTACTATAATTTTATTTTTTCTAAATAATTATATAACGAAATTTGTAGATTCTTCGTAAATTAAATTCTTTAACTATTCATTCTCAAACAGTAATATATACTAATGTGTATTTTGAAAAATGCTTTCAATTTGAATAATTAAATTTGATGGTTTGAACTGACCAAGTTTATATGATATCAAGCTAATGTACTGTATATGCAGGGTGATTAGTACAGTTTTTTAACCGCTACATCTTGAAATCTTCATTTGCCATTTGGGTGTAAAAAAAATCGTTTAATTAGCTTTTTTGATTTTTTTAAACCATTTAAAAAAAAAAAACTTTTTAAAACATTGGCGCTGAGACTAAAATTTAGTTGGGCTAAAATGCCGATTCTGATTGGTTAATTATAATCACCAAGTTTCGTAGAGATAACTTTCAAAGAAAAATATTCACTTTATCATTATATAGTTACAAGAAATATAACTATTTATATATTTATATATTTATTTTGTACGTCTTTCTAATTTAAATGTATAACTATTTAATTATCATCATTTAATTTGCTTAATGTTATTTTATTTTCATTTGTTGTATATCAACATTATTCAAGAATGTTTTATACTTTTGGAAGCTTTTGCTTTTATATAAGTGATCCTTTAATAGAGCGATTAAATCCACAAAGTAACATTTGGCAAGGTGTAGTTCAACTAAGCTGTCAATATCCGTAACTTTTGTAACGTTTAAGCGAATTTCTTTTAATGTAGGACTCCCACAGAGCATAATTGTTTATAGAGATAACAAATTAGTTAAATAAATAAATACTACAGTATTATGATCACGGGTGTTCTCAAGCATCAATCGAGATGCGGTTTCATAGTGATCTAAATGGTGCACAAGTATTATGACGTAATTTTTACTATTGCTATACCATTTTGGATAACGAATAACGATATTATTGAAATATGTTCAAACATTGCTATTACTATGTGTCACGGGTTTTCTTGACTACGTGGGTCTCTCGCCACGAAACAAGGCAACTCACCACTTAACCTAACCAAAGTGGTTTCACGGGTTTTCTTAATATGTATTTATTTGTGTAAAGCGAAAGGTAAACTTTATTTTATTTTCTCTCAACTATCTTATATACATTGGAATAGACTACATATTAATTACATCATAGTGTCGCCCACATGCACTTCTGAAATCTGTGCCAGGTTATGCCGATCACCGAATCGAAAAGCATTAAGCACAGATTTTAATTTACGTTATATTTGATATTTATGTATACTCATATAAGTAAAATTTCGCGCTGAAAACTTTTATTTAGAAGTCAAACTACGGTTATCATAGTAAAATCTTGAATTATTTACGATTTTTCTGTTTTATCATTGAGAAAACAAAAAAATCGTAAATAACTCAAGATTTTACCATGATAACCGTAGTTTGACTTCTAAATAAAAGTTTTCAGCGCGAAATTTTACTTATACGAGTATATATAAATATCAAATATAACGTAAATTAAAATCTGTGCTTAATGCTTTTCGATTCGGTGATCGGCATAACCTGGCACAGATTTCAGAAGTGCCGCCCACATGCACTCCTTTGCTTTACTTCATAATTAATGCATCATACTAATCATACGACTATTTTACTATTCTCATTATCTCATATTTGATCATACGTTACTTTACTTTTGACTACCCTTAATTACTCATAGGCAGACATTCGTATGATTGGCTGTTTAAATCAATTTAATCTTACATTATTTATACAGTTTAAAATACTTTTTAAAGAAAAGAAAACTACGAAGAATAAACAAAAAAGAAGCATATAGAAAGTTTTATTAGCGTTGTAGGACTCCACTATTAAAAATAATCAAAATTCTTTTTTGTTTTAGAGAAGTTAGCATGGTGATAACCTAATTTTAAGAAGTCGCTATTATGCTAACTTCTCTAAAACAAAAAAGAATTTTGATTATTTTTAATAGTGGAGTCCTACAACGCTAATAAAACTTTCTACATACTTCTTTTTTGTTTATTCTTCATAGTTTTCTTTTTTTTAAAAAGTACTTTAAACTGTATAAATAATGTAAAATTAAATTGATTTAAACAGCCAATCATACGAATGTCTGCCTATGAGCATGTCCTACTAATTTTCAAACAAAACTTAAGGCCAACGAAGATAAAACTTGGCAAACCCTCAAATATGGGGTCTTTGCCTTGAAAATGACCTTACGGTACGTGATCATTTTCAAGGCAAAGACCTCATATAATCGTTAGGTGAATCCTAATGATATCATATTTGCATAAGTCGAAGTCCAAGTTTAGTGTTTTATTATCATTCGGAAAAGGTTTCGCTTAACAAGTATAATTTATATTAGGAATTACATTGAATCAAAAATGTAACTTTTGTATTTAATGATCGACAATTCCAGAATTCTACACTACAAGAGTGGAATTGTAGAATTACTAAAATTATTAATGATCATTAATTCTACAATTGTACATTGTGGATTTATAGAATTACTAAAATTATTAATTAATTATCATTTGTTACTGAAGATTCATAACGCGAATGCGGTCAGTAAATTTTTGCCAACCAGAATAAGTATAGACAAAAAAGGTGGGTTCAACCCTTTTTTCCATCGCGATAACTACTTTCCGCCAATTAAAAATAGAGTTCCAACCTATTAATTTATGTCTTGAGAGATCCTTAAATCAATATAAATAAAAATCTAAACCTAAAAAAAAGTTTTGAAGATATTTAATTGAAACATCATGTGAAAACCACATTTTCATAAACGATTCGAGATTAATGCGATTAATAATCCAAATTGAACATTCGTTAGGTTAAACAAATCTAATACTATGTTTAAATAGTACGTACGACGTACAGTATTAAACAATCTACGTGTTCCACAAACCAAACCTCTTAATAAATTTATAATACATCAACGTATAAAAGCTTTGACATGCTACATTGTACAGAATATATCTTTTCGTTAAATTATCAAGTCAATAACCATGATTCTCTGGGCTTTCCTCGTGGTTATTACTATCTTACTCATAACATATTATAAAATAACCTCAAAGACACCAGATGCACTTAAAAATATTCACACAATTACGTTATTTAGCAGAATTTTTTTGACTATTACTAAACAATTAGGACATGACACGCTATATTTCCGTTATAAACAATACTTTGAAAAGGATGGAATTGTAAAGGTAAAATTTATCGACACGCATAAATATAATTGTAAATTTTATAAACTAAATAATGGGTTATTTATTTTATATAGGAACGTTTTAGAGGAAAGTGGACTTGCATGGTAACAGATCCAGCGATTGCAAAGGATATTTTATCAAAACAAGGCGCGTTTTTAATAATAATTAATCTGACATGTCATATTTACATAATTTTAATCCAAAGTTTTTTTTTTGACAGATGCTTATCCTAAAATAGACACGAAAAAGATTTTTTCGAATTCTCTATTTGTAGAATACTTTGGGACAAATGTGGCTTTCTCAAGTGGTGATGTAAGTACAAATTATTTTTATTTTTATTTTTCCTTTGATAAATCTTACTATGAGAACTTAAATTTTTTAGGTTTGGAAAAGGCATAGGTATTTGTCAAAATTGAGCTTTTGACTGGAACTATATTTATAATTAAAAACTTTATTGCTGAATTTGTAATAAATCCATCATAAGCCGTTGGGTATTAGCAGAACTTCATATCCGCTAATACTCCACGGCTCAAGAGATTTTATTTGCTTGAATTTGCTTGATGAATCTCATTAAATATGCATCAATGTTTTTATATACTGCATTAACTAAAATTGATTTATTTGTTGCTATAGTTATGCAAATTTATTACAAATATCAGCTTTAGACAACTATCGGATTCAACCTCAAAAATTTTTTAATTTGCTAATAGTATTAATTCTATTTAGGCATGTGTGCAGTCCTGCATTCAGAGCTTTACCATTACATCTTTTTGCAGAAACTGCATTAAAGATGATTGATATTTTAGAAACAATTGATAAAAAACCTATTGTAATTGACAGTTTTATGCAAAGGTAAAAATTATTCTTAAGTAATATTTCATTATTTCTTTTTTTTAATTACTAGTATAAAATCAATTTTTATAGATTTACCTTAGATGTTCTTGGAAAAGTTGCCTTTGGTTTTGACTTCAATGTAAGTGTTAATGAAATTTATTAATTATAGATAACCTTGTCAGTTCTATATTCTAATAAATATGTATTTGAATTAGAATCTTGAAAATCCAAATAGTGTTTATGTAACTGCATATAATGAAGTTCAGAATGCAATATTAGACCCATTAGCTTTGTTTTTTCAAATTGATAATATTCCAATACTAAGACAACATAGACTTAAAAAGCTTACTAAATTAAATAATATATTTATTGAAATTATTAAAGAGAAACGTAAAGCTTTAGCCGCTGGAAAGTCTCAAGGCGATCTTTTAGAACACATGTTAAATGCTAATGAAAATCTTGATAATCAAATATTATCAGATAATGAACTAAAAGTAAGCTAAAGAAAGATTATTTTTTATTTATTATCATAATCAAATTTTAATTAGATATAATTTAAATAGCATAATCTAGCTGTTTTTATACTTGCTGGTCATAAAACAAGTGAGTATATACTATTATTTTTATATTAAAAAAATGTTTATAATTTCTATAATCATATAATATTTATTTATAAAATTAGCTGCAACTGCTATATCAACGATTTTATATTTATTATCAATTCATAAAGTTAGAAAAATATTTTATTATTACATTGTTATTATTAATTATTATTAATATTATAATATTTATTGAGATCTATATATCATTATATAGAATGTTCAAGAAAAAGCTCGAGAAGAAGTATTAAGAATACTTGGTGACAATTTAATACCATCAGCAGAACAACATAAATCATTAAAATATTTAAACATGATTATTCATGAAAACCTTAGATTATATCCACCAGTAAGTATAAATTATACATTAATATATTTTATATTAAATCAACAATAACTATAAAATTTATAATTTTTTATTGCTACTATTAATAAATAAAGGCTACATTTCTTCAACATCGTGAATCAGCTGAAAATTTAAAAATTAAAGATTTTGTAATTCCAGCTGGCACGCCTATTGAAATATTTATATATGGAATACATCATTCACCAAAACTTTGGACTAATCCTGAAGAATTTTTACCTGAGAGATTTGAAAATAAAAATGCAACCATTGAAAATTATAGTTGGTTAGCATTTAGTAGTGGAGCTAGAAAGTAATTTGTTCCTTAATTATTATTTAATTGTATTATTTATAAATATAATTATTCATTATTTTAATAATTATAATTTTTTGTTAAAAATAATAGGTGCTTAGGACAAAACTTTACTCTTATTCAACAAAGAATTGCATTATGTTTGTTATGTAAGTATTTTAATTATAATATTTATATATTTTTGTGGGTGTGCATAAATGTATATTGAAAAAATATTTTTTTTTATAGTGCGCAAATATGAAATCTCATTAGTACCAAATAGTATACATAAAGATGGATTAAAAATTCCATATCGAATGTCGCCATCTCCAATTGAGCTTATATTTAAAAGAAGAGATTAATAACAAACAGTTCATTTTTCTTGATTATATCATGAATTAAGAGAACGCTGTGAAGACTCCAGTGTGCCTGTTTCTCAATTTTCTTTTTATCTTATTTAGTTTTTAGTTTAATATTTATTTTTTTCTGTAATGTTTTGAAAGAGTTGAGATGGCAAGAATTGAACATTCTCAACCTTCCAAATTTAGTTAGTACAGCTTAACAAGACCCAATTAATTTAAATCTACTTATTAAGTGGAATTCAAATTTTTTCTAATAAAATAAATTAAGACTCCATCATAACTTATAACTGTTCTAAATTCACAAATATTCGAATTATCATACAATAAATATACGGATACGTATCATTTCACCAACAATCATTTCGCTGACATTTCATTTCACCAACAATCATTCACTGAAAAGTTCATTTCACAGACAATTATTTCACCGACATTTAGTTCACCGACATGTTTAATTCACTGATGTGTTTTTTCGCCGAATATTAATTCACAGACAATCATTATACTGGCAAGCTAATTTTAAAAACAATACGTTTCACCGATGATATGTTTCGCCGACAAGTTTAATTACTAATAATATATGGGTCTTTGCCTTGAAAATCAAGTTACAACATTTCCTGATCGAGCAAAATATCGGGTCATATTCATATGTAAATCACTTTTTAGCTTTATTATAGTTTATTCAATGAACTATTGAATCAATAAAGCTAAAAGGTGATTTACATATGAATATGACCTGGTATTTTGGTTCGTGTTCGTCCAAATTAACTCGATCGGGAAATGTCGTAGCTTGATTTTCAAGCGATATACTTACAATTAATAAAAATGCTAACCTAACCCTATATGATAGAGGTATTACCCGTCGGAAAATAACGAACCGGACGGGTCAAATGTCGGTCCGGTTATGACCCGGGTCAACGGGTCATATGATGTGTGCCCGTCGTAGCATATCTAACCATACTGTCACGGGCTAGATTGGCATCATAGTCAATCAAGTTTATAATTTTAAGCCGAAGGCTTAGATGATTTGTAATATATCTCGATGAGGTGAGTTTTTTTTAAGCCTCATTAGTCCTTTAATGTTATATAAAGGACGTAACTTAGCTAAGGTTGGTTACGACTAGAGCTTCGATCCTATTTTTTCAGGGCTATCCGGATTGAATTCGGATTCTCTTTCATGAATCCGGTTACAATTCGAATTGAATTTGATTCGAATTCAAATCAACCAAAATTGCGAAATTTGAAGCTGATAGGAAAAAAGTTTTTCAATATACATATTTAATTTTATTTTATTATTATTACTAGATGTTAGACCATCATTAAATGACGGGTTGGATTTTAACATCTCTATTACCATACCCTGCAGGATAAAGATGAATAATCGGCGTTTCCAAAACTTCCTTGCATAATACACGATATGTAAAAAGAAGACAGCAGTCATGTGAGTTTAAGTCAATAATAAATGTAGCAATAATTACAGTAATTACAGTAAATACAGTAAATAAAGCAAAATATTCATTTTAACAGCTCTTTACGGTAGATGAGAAAGTTTGTATTCTAAAATAATTCTATCATCTCTTTATGGTTATTAGAGTTCCAATCCAGATAAATCCATCATCATATCTACACTATCCGGATAATCCGAAAGGTATTTGGATATCAATAGTAAACGAATATCTGAATAAATTTTGATCCGGATATCTGATAATTATCCGGATAAACGCTTAACAGATTGGAAGTTCGGATGAGAAAGTTAGTATTATAAAATTATTCTAACAACTCTTTATGGTTAGTGTTAGGATGAGAAAATTCATATTATAAAATCCTTTAACAGCTCTTTGAAGTTAGAATTTAGTATTTTGATTATGGATATCTGTACTATTAGAGCTTCTTTTTTTTTTACGTATATTAATCTTTTTGATAATATATCTAATTCACATAATTCAGGTGCAATATTAATTATTCAATATGGTACTTAAAATAATCTTTATATTAATCTTAACATGCACTGATGCACTATAATACAATATTTATTAATTAAAAATATTTTGCTGTTTTATTGATTTTTCTTTTGTGATAGACTTCGGTGTGAGGATTAAACGAATCTCTATAATCAAATTGAAATAGCATATGCTTATAGTATTCCCAAAAATAAACCTCCATGATTAAGATTCGGTACTAATTTTAATACGATATATCCTCAAATACAGTACCTGATTCTTCATACAGTACCCACTAAATTTGATTCTAGTTCAACTTTATAATCTAATATGTGCGAAAATCGTATTTATTAATTTCTTGTATAGATATTAATGAAATTTAAATAAAATCACTTTATAGTTAGGCCATTATCATTTATCGTGTTATCTTTGTAAATTTTAAAATCAAACTACTATCAAATTTTTGATAATATTCGAACGCTTTGTGTTCATTCTTTTTAACGCCGATTTTTTCTTTGGCAGCTCCGTGATTTTCGAGACTATGAACCACCAAATTAGGCTTATACATAGAATTATCTCATGAAAAAGTTAAATATACGATTATTAATTGATATTGAGTCTTTACCAATTACAAGTTCTTAGTTTGTATATAATGATTTTTTTGATTACAGGATTGCACTATTACAGTTTATGGATATGCGTTTAAATAAAATTTTAAATATCAAAATTAACTTCATGAATGGCAAATCTGTATCGTATTACATAAATAAAAAAAAGTTTTGTCTTATCTTTATGTTTTTTTGACTTTTTACATTTACTGAATTTCATTGGACCTCACTGGACCTCACTAAATCTTCCATCCAGTGGTTAAAAAAAATATGATTGGAAAGGTCTAGTGACAACTTACTACTGGCACTGTAATAAATCATATCACGATATCTTAATGCAAATGCATTATTTGGCTCAATCTTTAACGATTTTATTGGATCTTCAAGTGATTCATTATATTTCTTATACATATAATAATTCACGCCATGTTATTTTAATGCAGATGCATTATTTGGCACGAGTTCTAAAGATTTTGTTAGGTCCCAAAATTATTTATGATATTCCTTCATAATATAATAAGACATACCACGATAACTTAATGAAGATGCATTACTGGGTTCAATCTTTAATGATTCTGTTAAATCTCCAAGTGATTTATCATATTCCTTCTTCGTATAATAAATCATATCACGATATCTTAATACACAGTGTTGTTGACTGGAAGCTGGAACCTCACTGGACGTCCAGATTAGAGTTGGGCACCGAAACCTGAAACCTCTCCGAAACCTTAAAATTAGAATGTTAATAACTAATGCACATTTACTATAAAGTAACCAAAATATTTCT